TCCGTGCCTCCCCCCCCCGCCCCGGTTAACCAAAGGATCCACCTGTGTCGCTGATCATATAAACAATCAGATTTTGTCAAATGCGTCATATGCATAGTATTTTTGCGAACGCATAGAACCAAATGCTGACGAGCGGGACCACCATGGTCACCCTTGCTGATAATCGATGAACAATGCGCATGAGTAGTCGCAAGAAAATGAACAATCACTAAGGGTTATCTATCGAAGATACATCAAAATATTCAGTGAATTTAGAACTAAGCAAAAAATACTTCAGAACTGAAGCGCCTGACATAAACTGTTACGGAGTATCCCAGTAATATCACTTATATCGGATCCCTATCTCGGTAGCCTGAATGATTTATTTCTGATAACCATCACAGATGGACGAAGCGGATAATGGAATGGTATCCACGCACAGTCAAACGAACACTGAGGGAAGCCACCAATGAGGTGCAGAGACCTCATGGTACGCCTGTAGGGTATTACATGGACTCGGAGAGCGTAACAACGAGATGAATGGAGAAGTTGTCAGGTGCACTGTTGGTACGACAACGGACGTCGATGACATACAACTGCTTAAGTATTCAAGTAGTTATTTGATTAATGTCAAAATGAAAACAAGAATTTTTCCATAAAATCAAAAGACCTAAAAAAACAACCAACATTTTGTAATTTCTGGGAAAGATCGTTCAATTCTGAAGTGATGTAGGACGAGTTCGTAATTAACGGATTACTGGATAACGTGCTGACCCAGTAGGTATTCCAGAGTGATTCGAGAAGGCGTGCATCAAGTGATGACTTGAAATACGTAACTTCCAATGGATAATACTAAAAAAGAGATAAAATTGAAATATTGAAAAAAAAAACTACTGTTTTTTGATCGCCATTCCCAAAAAAAGCTTTGTAGGCTTTCTTACCCGAGCCCAGCTTCCGCTGTCTTTATGGGCTAAATGCACATACTTTCTTACAAAAAAAGTTTATTTACTACAAAATTTGTTCTTAAATCCTAAAAAACATGAAAAACAGTGGGGGATAAACATAAAAGACCGTTTTAAAACAGAGTTTGGGGATCTTATTTCGCCGGTACACAAACTTTACAGCTACAAATTTCGATGAATTCCATCCGAAAAGCCGAGGTGGCCAAAGTCAAAAGTCAAAACCTCTTCCACTGAGTTGGAAACATGCCAACTAATGACTTGCTAGGAAGGCTATGAATGGCTGGCTTTTCGTTCTACGACTTACCAACAAAGTAATGGCGGCTCCGGCTTGCTAATCATATAACACCACTAATTTACCTCCGAAACGACTGGATAAGTCGTAAACAGACAGTTCTACCAAGGGACTGGTGGAGTTAAACCCTTGAATTCCTGCACAAGAGCAGCCCTAACTACAATATACCACAACTGCCAGTAGCTAGTGTAGTATAAGAAACATACCTGCTTGCAGTGAACACCAAAATCTTCAATTTTGTTGAGCGGGATGGACTGATATTCAGAAGGAACCTCATCCGGAGGTTTGTAACCTTTTGGATAGGTGCGAAATGCTCCTAGGTCCACTTTGCCAGCTGACATCGTTCGAATCGGATCAATCTAAAATGAATATTAGAAAAAAAAAGCCGACTTATGGTTGGGAGGGAAGTCTAAATGAAAGTTATCCGAGAACCCATTTTTTGGCTAACTGGCCTATATGGTACCCTAAAAGGAGACTTAGTGATTATTATATATAATTTATTATTAGCCTATTAATAAATTAAATGTAATAATTTTTGATTATTATATATAAGTTGTAGTGATTTTAGTGATTATTATGCGTTTTTTGCAGCAATGCAATGCGAAAAACGCATATTGACGAGAGGTTGTTTGTGTGT